TCTACCGAGCCGCTTTTTGTAATTAACTGTTGAAAAAAAAAATTAAGCCGATTTTTATGGAACTTTTTTGGCGATATATATCATAGTCTTATAGAACTTACTGAAATATTACGGCCTTACGACAAGTAGTTTAATTTTAAAAATTCATCAAAGTTTGAGAAAATGAGTAGTTTTTTTGACGTTTGTTAAAATTAAAATTAGACGAATTTACTTGGTATAACGATAGAGTACTTGGACTTAATGATCATACTAAAGCGTTAAAGTTCTACGGAAGCTGGTTCAATTATAAAAATTATTGATTTTTGAAAATTTGCTTCTAGAAAATACTCCGAGTTAACAAATGCGTTCACTTGGAATACTTTTAATCACTTTAATTTATTTTTTATTGATTAAGTGGATTATTTATACATATCGGGAAGTTCATGTAACTGGCCTCAAGGCAAAATACCAATACCAACTAGTTTATTTTGTTGTAATTAGCCTTCGTAATATATTTAAGATTCAGTAATAATATTGTGTTTGTGAAAGAAAATATTAAATGTTTATGAAAGAAATGTTAGGAAAAATAACGCAAAAAATCGCTTTTTGATTTATTCTTTAATAATATGAATGGTGCCAAATTTTTCAAATAAGAAAGATTAACCGAATAGTCATTGCAAGCTAGGTATAAAACTTAAATAAACATGTAGTGCGTTGGTAATATATCAGCTGCGAATAGTAATTACATTAATACGAACGGGTTTAGACGCTAAAAACCTGCCGAAAGGTTTCCGAATAATCGGTAATTGGCATGTTGCCAAATATACTATTCGTTGCAAGCCTAATATATATATATATATATATATATATATATATATATATATATATATATACGAGGTGTGTTCAAAAAGTACCCGGAATTTTTAAATTTTGCGGGTCTGGAGTGTCTGATTGTCAAAATTTTTTTTTTTATTGTGTTGGTATACATGCCCCTAAAGTATGATGAAATTTTCAGCTATATTCACTGTTTACTTTGTCTGTGGTAGTCGCTAAGTTCGACGTGTTTTTCTGAGCTCGGCGATTTTTACAATGGAAGAATTGAAAAGTCAAAGAATTTGTATTAAATTTTGCGTAAAAAATGAAATAAAGTGTAACAAAGTGTGTGAAATGTTACAAAAAGCCTATGGTGAGTCTGCTATGAAAAAAAACAAGTGTTTACGAGTGGTATAAGCGTTTCCAAGATGGCCGCGAAGACGTTGAAGATGACGAACGCTCCGGTCGACCCAGCACGTCAACAAACGATGAAAATGTGAAAGAAGTGGAAAAAATGGTTATGAATGATCGCCGAATCACAATTAGAGAAGTTGCTGATGAAGTTGGCATATCAATTCATTAACAATTCATGGCTGTTGCACCACGATAACGCACCTGCTCACTCGTCGTTGCTTGTTCGTAATTTTTTGGCCAAAAACAATACCGTAGTCATGCCCCAACCTCCATATTCACCAGATATGGCTCCGTGTGACTTTTTCCTATTCCCAAAGTTGAAGAGACCCATGAAAGGACGGCGGTTTTCCTCGATTGAAGAAAATCGCTGAGAGTGCTCAAGGACATATCAAAAAGTGAATATCAAGGGTGCTTCGAAAATTGGAAAAAACGCTGGCATAAGTGTATTATATCTGGGGGGGACTACTTTGAAGGGGACCACATTAATGTAGACGAATAAATAAATATTTTTTTGAAAAAACGAAAATTTCGGGTACTTTTTGAACAGACCTCGTATATATATATATATATATATATATATATATATATATATATATATGTTTTGTAGAGTTTCGAACAAGAATCCAAAAATAATACAAAATAAAAAACAAGAAAAGTTTTTAAAAAAACAATTTCTTTATTTAATTATTTGTTTATTGTCGACGTTTCGGAACTAGGTACGTTCCATCTTCAGGACATCTGTCAAGAAACATGATCTTGATGAGATTTTAGCAAACAATATGTTTAGGAAAAGAAAACAGATTTTTCTTAAATAATGAATTTATTGCAAAAAAAATATAATAATGTACAGAAATATGATAATATGTTCAAAATGAAAATGATAAAAATGATAAAAATAAATGAGTGGATTATCAGAACAGGATATTAAACATAATAGAAAATTTTTTGAAAGTTATGGAAATTTTTTAAGAAAAGGTTAATGACAAAGTTGAATTAATTACCTGTATGTTTGAATATTTGTTAGCACTTTTTCACTAAACAAGCTTTTTTAACAAAAATGAATTTGTGAGTTAATTTTTCGCCGAATAATTAGATTTTGTAAATCAAAATTACTAAAAGATTTGTCTTTTTTAAAATTATTATTTGAAAACACAAATAATATTGTTCTCTGGATGTTGTTCGATTGGCTTTTGAAAATTAACTAATTGAAACTGGTGTGTCCTTTGTAACACGTGTAAACACTTGAACGAGAGATGTGAGATTGTATGTGTGTGTTTTTATATGTTAGGGTGTGAATACTTAAATTGTTGATCTTAAAAGGAAGTCGATATTAATTGTTTGTCAAAAAGTGTAAAAAATTTAAATATGAATCATGTAATAGGTTGTGATCTGATCTAATGTTGACACTGTTAGAAACATTTATGAGAATGAGACAACTCTCCGCGAATAACCTTCTAAAGATGCAACTTTCATGATATAAAATCTTTCTATAGAGTGTTGTACTAGGGTACTTTTGAAATTTTTTTGTTTATGGTGGACCACACTTAGTTCATGTTGTCTCATTCTCTTGTGTACATATTGGGAGGTTTGTCCAATATATTGAAAAGCACAGTCATTACAAGAAATAGAATATACTACATTAGTATTGAGATTGGATGGGGTAGGGGATTTAATGTTCGTAAAGAATTGGTTGAAGGAGTGTAAGGATGAGCCTGATACTAAAATGTTTTCTTCTAACAAAATTTTGGCAAAATAATAATATAAATCCTCAACGTATGGTATGCTGCAGTAAATAAGATTGGTGTTTTTGATGTTAGTACTGGTATTGGGAGAATTAATTTGTGTTTTTAAGAAAGTTCGTCTTTTTTGAATAACTGAATGAATGAGATTTTTTGGGTAACCATTTTCAATTAGAGTTATTTTTACTAGGGATAAATTTTGTGGATGGAAAGTTTGGTGAGACAACAAAATAGCATGGTCTGTAAGGGAAATAATAGTGTTTATCTTATAGTTTCTGGGACAGTATGAGGAATAGTGTAAGTATCTACCCGACCATGTAGTTTTTCTATACCAATTTGTTCGAATAAAGTTATTAGTGTTGTAAACGGATACATCCAAGAAATTAAGTCTGTTGTTATTTTGTAGTTCATGTGTGAAAATTATATTATTGTTAAAATTATTGAAGAGATCTAGTACTGTGTTTATATGATTTTTGTTAATGATAAAAAAAGTGTCATCTACATATCTAATATAAAAGTTAATTTGAAATTTTAAAGTTGAGAAAACGGAAATTTCTAGTGTTTGTAAATCTAAGTCGATGATTCCGGGAGATAAGGGACATCCCATAGCTGCGCCTTTAATTTGAGAATAAAAGTTGTCTTGGCAATGGAAATAGGAGTAATTTAAAATAGTGTTGATAATATGAGTGAAGACTGTTTTCGGAAAGTCAGTAAAGTTACAAATTGTGTGCCAACGTTTATCGATTGAGTTTAGGATTAATTCATGTGGGACACATGTAAAAAGGTTGACCACATCTAAGCTTAGAAATAAGTGATTTTCAGGGATGTTGCGGTTATTAATTAAATTCACAAATTGGTACGAATTCTTGACATAATAGGGAGAATTGATTGTAACATTTTTTAGGACATCAGAAATGAGTTTCGAAATATTGTAAAAAGGAGAGCCAATGTAGGAGACAATCGGTCTGAAAGAGCATTCAGGTTTGTGTATTTTTGGAAGACAGTACATCTTAGGGGAGATAGGGTGTTGTATTTTTAGGTTAAAAGCAAAATTCTCAGAAATTAGTTTTTTGTTTTTCAGATCATTGATTAATTTAAAAGCTATTCTAGAAAAACGTTGTGTGGGATCTTCTGTTAAAATATTATATGTTGTATCATCTTTAAGTAGGTTAAGGACGGAATTGTTGTAAAATTCTTTGTCAAGAATGACTGTGATATTACCCTTATCGGCTGGGCAAACTATAATATTATTAGATTTAATGAAAGCTTTAGTTTCTAAAATGTCCTTGTGGAGTTTCTTTAAATGAAAGTTTTGAAATTTATTATTTACTTTCTTTATATGTTTTACCAGTCTGTCACATAGTTTTGATCTAATATTATTCTGTTTGTTTGTTTCAATGTTTCTAATGTTGTATTCAATATTACTTAGAATTTTTATGAAATCTGTTTTACTGTATTTCTGAGGAGAGTATGCAAATTTTGGACCTAATGCTAGAATATATTTAACATTTTCTGGAATGTAAATATCAGTTTTGTTAACTAACCACTTATCTGTACAAGATTTAGAGATTTTGAAGGGATAGTTGTCATCTCTTTTCTGAATTAAAGTTTTAGTTTTTTTAATATGTTTTTCTTTAGTAGTATTAAAATGTTTGTTAAATTTATAGTTTTCAAAAGCTAAAAATTGATTTAAGAGGTCTTTGTTCAAAGTATTGGAAAGTGTATTGATTATGTTATCCAGTTGTGATTTCAAGTAATTTATGTAAACATTCTTGACAGATGTCCTGAAGATGGAACGTACCTAGTTCCGAAACGTCGACAATAAACAAATAATTAAATAAAGAAATTGTTTTTTTAAAAACTTTTCTTGTTTTTTATTTTGTATTATTTTTGGATTCTTGTTCGAAATTCTACAAAATATACACAAATCCAAGACTCTACCATTCAATATATATATGTATATATATATATACCACTCTTGTCTAATCATATTATTCTTTATAAATTATTAAGAAAAAACAACATGATACAACTTATACGGATTGCGTTTTTCAGAAACGGAGCGGTGTTGGCCTTGGAAGTAATTCTGGAAATAATCTGCCCTTGAATGGACACCCACAAAATGAGGAGGAAGAAAAAAATAAGACCAAGAAAATCCCAAAACCGAAATGGGTTCCTTTAGAAATTAATGTCAAAAGTCGAAACAATAGGCGTGAAGATTTGCTAAAATATAATAGTAAGTCAACCAGGTTTACAACTATGTTTACGACATCCTGGGTTTTATTTTTCTAAAGGAAATTAAAGTAATGTTTTCTTTATTTTTTCCAATTTATTCTTTATAGCTTTCGAAATCATGTTCTTTCAGTTAAAAACATGGTACAAAGTTTGAACATATCTTCAACACTAGTACTTGTACAGTACAAGTACTAGTGTTGAAGATATGTGCTGGATTACCCCATAGGCCCGTGAGGCCCGGGCCTAGGGCGGCAGAATTTGGGAGGCGGCAAATTTTTCAGAATGTCAAAAAATGTTTAAACCCGATAAAATATCTCGATAATTTATTTCAAGGATTAATCCTGATTTTTTTTTATAAATTTACAGATCGTTTTATATAAAATAGAATGTAAGCCGTAATGGGCGAGTGTAATCATTGATTATTAAAAATAACACAGGCATCGTATAACAATAACATGTCTCTTGATGGCTATCCAGAAAGACTTCTTAAGTGTTTATTCATGATCTCAAATGTCGTTCAAGTATAATTTATTACCGCAACGATTAATAATTCATCTGCTCTTATCACATCTAAACTAAACATATCCCAATAAAGAACCATTGTAATCGATTTTTATCGCCCAATAACTTTGGCGAGCAGTGCTCGAGTTCGCCCGCTATGCGCGAACTGTGTTTGTCCGTGTTCAAGTCAGTGGTTTCCAACCATTTTTGCGATGCGCACTCCAATCTAATAAAAAAAAATGCGCCCTCTTTTATTTTTCTAACAATTTCATTTCATAAATATTTAAATATTTAACTGATATTATGAAATTGCAAATTAATATGTTATATTATGTAAAAATATACATAAAAAGTGAAAAAAAATATGAATTTTTATGTATATTTTTACATAATATTGCATATTAGTTTATAGTCTGATAATATCAGTTAAATATTTATTTATGAAATGAAATTGTTAGAAAAATAAAAGAGGGCGCATTTTTTATTAGATTGGGGTGCGCATCGCAAAAATGGTTAGAATTTCAAAAAACAAATTGTTTTATTTTCGAAAATAGTATCTTCGAAACAGTACGTCACTCTTGGAAAAACCTCGCGCCCCGCTAAGGGTGCGCGAATCACAGGTTGGAAAGCACGGGGTTAAGTGGCTGAAATCAAATAATAATAAATGTATTAATCTTAGATCGAACTATAAACAAAACGCAGTAATTATTTCAGTTTTACGATAGCCGTTTAAGTGAAAAGTCTTATAATTTTATTATTGCGTTCAGTACCATTAAAGAATTAAATATGATATTATTTTGAATTAGACGCTTTTTAACTAAGTCGTTTGGTTTGTCTGAATTTAATCATTTTATTTACAATTACAATGAGTGGGTACCGAAAAAAACTAAGTGGTGCAGAATATCGTAAAAGGAAAACAGAAGAATCTTTAAAACAAGAGTGTTTACTGAATAAAATTCCAAAAATTTCTAATTTTATGAGAACTGTGACAAGTTCAAGAAAATTTGTAAGTGATGATCAGCAAGCATTAATTCATCTGTTGCAAGTATTTTGATTACTTGTTAGTATTTTTTTTAAGAATAACCTTAAAAAAAACGATTTTTTTAATATTTTTGAGTTTTTCGAGTTTGCGTCAATCGACGTCAATTTTGATGTAATGAGCTTAGTAACTTACCGGAAGCTAAATTATAGTAATTGCAAAAAAATCGAAAATGAAAATTTTTATGTTGTATTTTGACCAGACCTCTTAGTCATAGATTTTTCATGTTAAACTGCGCAATAACGAGCTGCAATTGTAAAGCAATCAAAGTTACTGTTGAATATGGCAAAGATATTTAAAATTTCTAGGTATTGAATTTGGCAACAAGTTTTTGCTTGATGAAATGTGACATAACATAATCACATATTGTTTTAACGTTAATATTAACGCTAGAATTTCTTGGTAGCTGGCGAATTTGCTGTTAGTCTCTAGAAGATCATTTATTGACTTATTAAGGTTTTGCTTTGATTTTTTCTCAATTCTATCGTTCTTGATATTAACAATTTGTAAAAATGGATATTCATTAAGAATATGTAAGAATTTTGAGAGATCTTAGAAATGAAAGAAGTTTTTATTGAAAGAAAGAGTTATATTGACGTATTGAAGTATTAATTGAATTTATAAGAAGGCAGGTTCAGCGGTTTGATAAAGTGAAAATGTTTTGAAAATGTCATTTTGCGATAATATATGATGATTTTGGCATAATCGCATCAAATTGTCAGATGTTTAAAAAAAGTTTCAATAAGAAGTACAAATTTTGATTACATTTCTGGGTCCCATACCAAGATTTACAATATACAACAAATATACTGCAAAGCGGCGCTTATGTGCTTCGATATATCGTATTTTTGTCTATCGTAGCTTTTTTCACGAAAAAGTAGCTTTTTTATGTTTTTTTCAAAAAAAAATCAAATATTGCCAAAACGTTCATAGGGCATTTAAGCATGCAGATATATAACATATATCCAATTACTATAAACTATCCTACGGAAAGTTAATTATGAATATATGTCGGTCGTGGAAATACCTCTTACTTGTCTAAAACAATTTACGAAGAAATAATATTAGTTCAAAGTAAAGTATTGAAACAGATTACCAAGGAAGTGCAATCTGCTAAGTATTTTGGTGTAATTGTGGATTCTACGCCTGATATTGCTCATGTAGATCAACTGACAATAAATATTAGGTATGTACGTGATAATGGCTCAAGATATTGAAGATGCTCTATTAAATCTCTTGAAGATGCTCTTGAGAGAAATGGTTTAGATATTGTGAACTGTCGGGGTCAATCATACGATAATGCAAGCAATATGTCAGGTGTATACTCAGGAGTGCAGTCAAGAATCAAAGCAACTAACCCCTTAGCAGAAAACGTTCCTTGTGCAGCTCATTCCTTAAATTTAGTGGGAACTTGTGCAGCGGATTCTGTAACCGAAGCTGTCGGCTTTTTTTCTACTCTGCAAGAATTATACAATTTTTTTACCATTTCAACCAATCGTTGGGAGATCTTAGTACAGCATACAAGTTTAAGACTTAAAAGCCTTTCTCAAACTCGTTGGTCGACATGATGCTTGTTACGCATTAGAAAAAGAGTGGTCTGGCACAATTATTGCATTGAAATTTATTGCCGAAAACAAATATGAAAAACCTACAACACGGTGTCAGGCTAGGGGATTGCTGCAAAAATTACAGCATTTGGAAACAGCAATACTAGTCGTTGTTTGGAATGCAATTTTGGAATGCTTCAATGCTGTTAGTAAAAAAATTCAAGACTCAAAATCTAATTTATCATCTGTTTCACAAATGTATAGTTCTTTGGCATTATTTTTACAGGACATGAGAGATAAACAATTTTCCGAATACGAGGAAAAAGCCAAAGCACTTTCTGGGGTAAAAAAACTATTATCATGACAACCATCGTAAAAGAACCCGAAAATTTCAGGCAGACGAGTCACGAGAGCTTGAAAGAGTATTTTTATGTGGAGAAGAAAATTTTCGAATAAATATTTATTATCGAGTTTTAGACACTTTAAGTGTTCAATTGGCACGCCGTAAAAGTGCTTATCATACGCTCTATGAAAAATTTAATATTTTTGACAATTTGTCTGAAAGTGAAACTAGAGAATTAAAAATTCGGGCAGATGAGTTAGTCTCTAAGTATCCTGAAGATTTGGAAGACACATTAGGAAATGAATGCATTCATTTACAACACCTACTCATAGAATCTTTTTCAAGTAAGGAAATTTTCGTTCCGCACAAGGAATATATAATTTTTTGCATTCTAATAATCTTTGTGAAGTTTATCCAAATATAGACATTGCTTTACGGATCTTTTTGAGTATTCCTGTTACAAATTGTTCAGGAAAAAGGTCTTTTTCTACTTTGAAAGGGGTAAAAACATATTTACGAGCAAATATGGGCCAAGATAGACTTAGTGCTTTAGCATTACTGACTATCGAAGCACAACTTGTTCAAGAAATTGATTACAATGATATTGTTGATGGTTTTGCTCAGACAAAATTCAGAAAAAAAATAATTTACGAATAGCTATAAATTATAGTTTTAGAAAAGTGTGTATTATATTTATATTGTATTATTAATATTTAATAAACATTTATTTGTATTATTTAAAAATTATTATTTCAAAAAATAAAAAATATATCTAAGTAATCTTATATATAAAAATGGAGCTCTCTTTCAAATGTCCAAGTAAAACTCGAAAACTGCTAAACCGATTTGGCCAGTCTTAGTCTTGAAAAATTTGTGCCAATCCAGAATTGGTCGGAAAGGTGAGAATTTATTTCAAATCCGCGTAGAAACTTTTTATTTTTAATTTGAAAATTTTTGTAGAAGCGCAATCTAAATTAAACAATGGACGGTTGCTAATCTGTGAAATGTCAAACGTTTTTGACAGATGATGTTCAATTACATTACATACGTGAATATTATTTAATTATGATTAAATTGTGGTAAGTAGTTTTGTTTGTAGTTTTATTTATATATAAAAACGTTAGTAAACGGGCCGCAAGTGTTACTAGAAACTAAATATCAACTTTTTTGAAATGTTAATATGAAAATGCACTTTTTGGCATATTTTTCTCAAGCACGGTGCTCTGATAGATCTCATTTGTATAATTATATACTCATTAGTATTTATAAAACATTTTCTATGTTATATTATTTTTTATTTAAGTTATTTAAAATCAAAACCTAAATTTGGTATTGTTCAAAGAGACATTTTGCCGAATAACATTTTCCCAGTTATAATTTCGTAGAATTTATCGAAGAATAGATAGTAATATATGAAGGTCCGGGGTTAAAAAGGTCCACCAGCGATGTGTCAAAAACCAGTAGAGTTAAGCATTGTTTAACAAGGAATTGAAAAGTAGAGGGAAAAAGATGTATAAGCAGCTATAACCTTGATTCTTATGACTTTGCTATCTGGAGATAAACTGTAATTT